CGCAATTATTCGGCGTAATAGAACCTCGTGCATTAAGTAGCCGCGACATAATTCATTGCTTTCGATTCGATCGGCATTAAAGTCAACCTGGATTATCACGACAACATTAACCAGCTCTCTGTTTCGTAATCCCTTCGTAACGAAAGATCGGTGCAATAATACTTAGATAAGAACTTTCAAAGATAATTTTCAGCGAGACAAAGAATTAATCCCTTCTCGTTCCAGCATCTCGAGTAACAGTAAGCTCGCACAAGAATCTGGCGACTTGGTCGTAAATCGGAGGCAAAGAACGAACGAGAATAATAACTGTTCGTTAGAAAAGGAGTTTGAATCGAGATCGTCGCGTGTTCACAGCTTGCTTGTTGATATACCAGGAACGTGAGTTATTGTGCAAATAATTGGCACGGCTGTCTACGCTTGTCACAGTTGCTTACGAGGTGCTGTTCGCGACGATTACGGGTTTTGTAAATAGGGAAAAAGAGAAAGGTTAACAACGTGCGCCCCTTCGTCAAAATTCGACAGAAACCATCGCTGCTGTAATTCTCGGTTATCAACGAATCGAAATAATTTCTATATCGGACGTGCCTTTTTCCTCTTCCTTCTTTCTTTTATTTTCGTCATTGCCTGCTGTCGAATCGGTGGGGAGCGAGGGACGAACGTTTATTTGCCAAAAAACGTGGAAATCACATAATATTCCACGGACGATGCGAACGGACGCTTTCGAATGCGCGAAGCGTTCGTGGAATAAATTTAGGTGGTACTTGAGCGGAAAGCTGATCTACCGGCCGCGACCAGTTGCGAAACTTCTTTTGAGTACCGTGCGTCGCGTCGCCTCGCGTCGTCGAGTTTTATTCAGAGTTACCCGCGTGTACCGGTTCGCCGGTTCCGAATAAAATGCAACATCGATCGCATCGCGCGAATATGCAATTTTGCAGAATACTGAGGAGATTGGGAAACGTAATTGTCGCGCATCGATTACGAAACTTTTTCCGAACAGCGTTCACCGAGGATCGTCAATGCTAAACGACTTTGAAACACAACGTTCACGGATTTTCTTTTTATGTTCCCTTTCGCAACGATTTTCATTCCTTCGGTAATTTAGTAAAATTAAAATCAGAAAATGATAGTCGGAATTCCAGCAATAGATTCTCGATCAGATTGTCTTAGAATTAGAACGAACTATCAAATGATTACGTAAAACGTTTCTAGGCATTGTCAGTAGTCTCGTAGACGCAGCAATTTTTTAACGTTTCCCATAGAGGGAAGGAGGTAATCGGCGTTGAGGTTGCAATCACCTCCGACGATTGCGACAGATCGAGATAGACTTGCAATAATGTACGCGGCTCCTGTCTACCCGGTCTGCCTAATCACACGTTCGAACGCATAAATCGCGTTCACGAACATACGTACGTACTACGTAAATAGATAGACCCTCGATTCTCTCTCTTTCAGTTCCCAAGAGTATCGAGCTAGAATAAATGGTTACCATGTTCATAGAAGTTGGACAGCGAAAATCGGAAAAGGTAAATGATGCGTTCGACTAACATCAACGGGAGCAACAGGTACGTACATTCGGTAGGCAGGACGTCAAAAAACGGCGCTCGCCTCAATTACAAATCTCACAGGCGAAAGATGTCCGAAGATAGCTGAAGAATATTCGAGCACCCCAACGGGGGCCATTAGGATCCAAAGGTAGTTGGGCCCCAGTCCTCTATCCGACGGTCCCTCTTTCTCTCTTTTTCTCTTTCCTCGTTCTCTCGATGAATCCCATGGAAGAGGAGGCGGGGGATGGTTGGCCGGTCAAGCCGCATTCCGTTGGCCAACCGGCTCCTTGGAACCCTTCCTCCCCCTCTTAGGTAGACGGTTCTTTCTCTATATACAAGCCTCTCGCCTCCTTATGAACCCACTACGATATGTGTGCCCACAAGACGGCCAATATTATTTCGACTAGACACACCGGCCAGGCTCAAGAGACGCAACCTTGTCAGAGAGCAAGCAACGTAACGTATGCATGTATGTATGTATGTATGTAGGTATCTACTTTCACGAAGTGAAACTGTTACTGGGAGGAACAACTCAAAGGTCGATCGTTTTTAAACGATCGTTAATGCATGCAATTCGCTCGGCCTCCAGTTTGCGAACTCATTATTTTTCCAAAACCACGATTCGATCTTTGCGCGTACAATCATGCACGAGCAGTCTGACAATCAGTGATTAATAAATATTTTATCGCAGACATAACGCAGTTATGAGTTGCCCTAAGATTAGTTCGATGCATCGAATTAAATCTTGGAGAATATATACGGGCTGTAATACTTCTTCCCAGATCGTGCAAATATTTTCGTACAACGTGGTCGAAAGTTGTCCCGACTTCTCCGCGGCGTTCGCACAGGAATTGTGTATCGCTTTCGTGAATAAATGAGTCATGAGGACAGAAAATAAAACTGAAAATTGGTATTCGGTTTTCCTCCGTTCAGAATAAACATTTTTGAGTGGCAAAAACGATATAAAACACGAGTTGACAAAAATGACGACTCGCTTTTGGTTTGCTAAGTATAATTTTATATACGGTGTCAGGAATTGGCAAAGCGGATGCTCCGAAAAAGGGGCGATCGTACGCGTTAAAGATGATCGAAAATTCGAAAGTCGGATCCCGGAACCGAGTAAGCGTACAGATCTTTCGAGCGTACGATGTCGCCGCGCGATCGCGGGGTCGAGGTCCCCCAAGAGGCGAAGGTTCGAGAGAAGGTTCCCGCGAGAGTACTCGCCCACGTAGGGTGCCGTAAAAGTTAGGTTCAAATCTGCCCTCCACCGACCGCCTCCACTGCCCGGTGTACTCGCTATCATCCTCCAACTTCCTCTCCCTCATGTAAACTTCTCTTTCATCCAGCGCGTTCGCGTTTGCATTCGCGTTCGGTTCAGTTCGGCTTCCTCCTTCTTCTCTTCCTCCTTTGCCACGTTCCTTCGCCTCTTTCCACCCGCGATCCTTGTCTCCTCCTCTTGTTCTTCTTTTCCTTGTCTTCTCGTCTCGATTCCTACCTCGGCCCCTTACCACCCTCGTACCTCGGTCCGCGTAGCATGGGCCAAGAAACGGCCAGGTTGTAAACTACAATTGCGCTCAGGTAGACACCAAATTTTAAGAAGAAATTCGTTTATTACTGCTTCGGAAAAAATGCGACAAGTTTTACGCGTTTATTCGATGACAATACGAATTATCATTCCTTTATCTTGTGCATCCACGCGGTTACATATTTCTGTAGAAATATACGAAAATATATAATTCACTCGGAACTATCTCCTTATACGTAGCAAAAACTGTAATAGAGGGGAGAACTGGACTTCTATCATCCAAACTATCCAGTTATGCGCAACGTCTAACGCTCCGACTAGACTGGTTCTTGCAAACGGAGTTTTACCGTACGTTATGATGAAAGAATCATCGTCGCCCAGCTCTATATTCGTTTCAAGCTCTTCGTCTTCAATAATATTTGTCTCCCAAATTCGTGGCCTCATAGTTTTTTAGCCTCTAATGTAGGATGAACTAGTATGCCGTACTGTTATGTGTCACCGCTACAGCGTTAATCATTTCGATAAGAATTGAACGAATGCTCGACGAAAGAGTAATAAAATAGTTTGAGAAGATTTCCGTTTGAGAAAACGGTATACTGTACATAGACTGCGGGATCTGCCCGAATTCGGTGATATCAGTTGTTATTTATTAACGCAAAGATTTATGAGTATACTAAAGTCCATCGATTGTACAGGATTGGAAAGAAGAGTTGGACGCATCGCGTCGCGTCGTGAAGGCGTCGTTGAACGTCGGGCTCAAGAATGTTATACGAATACTTCGGGCTCGGAAGGTGGAAGGTGGTTGGTCGGTTGCGATCTCTCAAGGGGGAAACTCTCCCGAGCCCTGAGAGCGGTGATGCGGTGATCCTCCGTTTAGCAAGAAGGAAAGAGAACGAGCCACGAGGTGAGCAGTGGCAGCAAGGGAGAGGGAGTCTCGCGCGCAGAGGGTGTCGACGGTGGACCCAGGAGGCAAGGGGGCCTTCTCGGACCCCGAGGGCCTCCGGACAGGCCGCCAACAAGAGCGGGCAGAGATGCGAGAACGAACGGGCAAGAGAGAAGGATGAGAAGTGACCGGATGGCCTTGGTCCCCAGACTCGGTTAGTTACCGCGCGGCCGACTATAACTGGTCGAGTGGTTCGTAACACACGGGGCGGTATCTCCGATTTCGACCGCTTTTTAAAACGACCGGACTCCGCATTGCTGGACCATAGATGTGTACACTAGCTCCAAAAACGACAGAAGATGCAACGAGAATCGCTCTCCCAGACGAATCGCGACATACCAAAAATTTATCTCGCTCTTCGTCCCTTCTTTTCACCATCAAGAGAAGTTTGTAAATGGAAACAGATATAATTTTTCCTGCCGTTTCGGATAATTTCATCCCGGAATGCGGACGAGATTGATTTCTTTAATTTTGATAAAAAAAAAATTTTTAATCCCCTTATTGTTGTAGCAGTTTCTTATTAAAGTCAGAATAAATAATCAGATATAACGAATAAATAATCAGATTAAGAAGATGGATGACAGAGAAAAGATGTTCAATGCGAATCAGAACTCTTTTTTTCTACTGTGAAATGTAATGTTCGTGAAATGTAAAAACGAAATGTTCACAGTGGATTCGTAAACGCTGTTGGATACTCTCGGCTTGCAAATTTACAAGAAGTTCCTGTTCGGAACGAAAACCAGCAATGCTGTTTGTTCCTTAACGAAAGCAACATACATAGCCATTTAAGAAACTGTATGAAAAAGTGTTTTAACATTAAACATGCAGACTAACATGCGGAGATAATAAATTATTATCTTGTTAACGAGCAAAATGAATTCAGTTTAAATTGAACAAAGATAAAAGATATAATTCGAAAGTAAACTCGAAACGATTCCATTGTATGAAAAAATTGAATAAAAATGGACGGGATGAATGAATAGCAAAATTGTCATGACAACATCTATATTTTATTAATGAATTTTTAAATTCTAATGTGAAAAGTCGCCATAAAATCCGAGGCTCTTGTTACGACGTGCTCGAATTCCAAGTAAGATAAAACACCGTCACCGTCAATGTCGCTTTCCTCCAAAACTTTCCGACACACGGTGGCCACCTCCTCGGCGTTCAGGTCATCCTGGACCAGCTGCCGGCAGGTGCGTTCCAAATCGTTCAACCCTAGTACGCCATCCTCATCGAAGTCTATTTACATAATGTTACGAAGTTAATTATCACGATTCATGCGGAAGTGATCATTCCGTATAATCTGAATTAATAAACTTCTAGAAATGTCGTTTGTAAAGTTTTCTGTTTACGACCTTTAATAACAATTTCATTTTATAAGATGTGCCAATGGGCTCATGGGATAAATAATTCAGATATCCACAAAGTGCAATCTGGTTTAAAGAAATCTAATTTGAACAAACCAACGAATAATGTTCCGCTCAATAAAATTATTATTAAAAAATTAATCAATTTCGTTAATGCTACACTTTTTGAGTGAAATTCACTCAAACTAGATCACAGAAATTACACGAAACAAGAAAACTGCAGTCGGTGGAATTTAGTAGAAAATCAATAGTTGTTTCGTGTTAAGATGCAATATAACTACTGATAGTGCAAGTTAGAGATATAGCACATCGAGGTCAACCTCGAAGTTCTTCTCATGATCACGTTTATCCACTGCCTGCTTTCACGTGGTAGATAATAGATATCCAATTCGTACCGTAAATCTTAAAGGCGTAAAAGACCTTCAAATCCCGCGGAGCCTGCTCCGAAAAAACTGACATCATCTCAAGGAACTCCTCAAAACAGATTCCTTGGTTCGATGACAACGTCGACGATTCCATGGGATTCTGGCATCTCGTGAATACCTCGGAAATACGTTCCCTGAACGGGTTTTCCTAAAAATAGCCAAGCACCGGGAATTTTCTGTAGAATCCTGCCATAAAATTATAATCACAAATGTGACGAGCGTGAGATCGGGAAAACTAATATAAACCGACCTGGTTCAGTAATTCGTACAGTGGCTTAATATTTCATACAACGTATTAACTAATCTATTTATTAAGAGAATTCATTCATTTTTGGTTTCGTAGGTATACACTTATCTTAAAAAAATTTTAAACAATAATCATTGTTTATATGTGAAAATACTATTACTATTGAAATTTTTTAGTTTTTGATTTCATTGTTAATTTCCTTATTTTTTTTCCCGATTTTAAACTATGTCCGAAGTTTAATTAATGAAACTGACCCCCGAGTTACTCGCAGCGATTTTTATACGTTTACTTAATTTTCTTTAATTTTTATGAATCTGCATTTCTTTAGATTAAGGAATTAAAGACCTTTAATTCTGGTATACGTGTCAAACATGATAGGGGTATACGAAGCGTCGATGCTTGATGAGGCGTCATGGATCGTGGAACTGTTCCGGGATCTCCCATATCTCGAAATCGCTTAAATATTCTAAAAAATACAACCCGACGTTATTAAGAGTCGTATATTCGAATAATAGCACGAAATACCTCAAAATTTCTTTGCGAGTAAAAAATGTGCAATCTTGATAATCCTCTAGTTGTTCCTCGGTGAAAGTGGCTACTTTGTTTCCCATCTTATGTAATACAAAGATATTCTCGCTAATCAAACAACTCGCACCAGTGTTTCGTTTACTACTTAATACTTGAAACTGAATTCACGCGCTGCCCAATGTTCAATACGAAATCTAATAATCAGGGTGTGTCGCGGCGCTCCCACTTTCAGGGACGTTTCAGTCAGAAATTAATGAAGGCAAATCCTAATTCGTTGTTCGTTCGCGTTTCGCGATTAGGCGCTACTAATAAGTCGCATGTCTGTCTTATATTTTATTTATTAACATTAACATTTCAAATTTAACTTATAAATGCCCGTAATTGAAATTTTATATTTGGGATTCTCTTCTCTTTCCGCTCACTTCCTAAAAATTTAGGTTCATTTTGTTGTGTAGGTAGTATTGTAGTATACCTTAAAATAAAACTAAAAGTAAATTATTTACAAGTTGACGTTATATTTATATTTGATTCTATTATTATAATAAATGTATGTATATTTGTTGTACACTGAATAATCAAAGGTATGAAAGATACTTTTTGGTCTGCAATATAATAAAAGCCAATTCAACTTATGTAGGAATTTGAAAAATGATTAAAAATAAATTTACATGTACCTTTAATGCGTAACTCTTTTGCAGTTTTGGACGACATTTTTGTTAATAAAGGTTCTACAATAGTCCAAGTTTTCTTACAATATTTATTCTGCAATACCCTCATCAATTCATATTAATTTTGTCAGTATCTCTTCGTTTATCAAAAGCAATTATTATTTCTTGGCTATCAATGAGAATCTCAGCTGTCCTCTCTTGCATGTATTGTATTACATATGTTCCAAAGCCTTCCGCTGATCAATTCTCATCTATAATAAAAACTATGATTACTTGTTTGCAAAAATTTATTTGAACAAACGCTCGTTCAAAAACAATAAATATATATCATACTACTGTAAATGCTAAAGTGTTCAAATACAAACAATTCACACAGACATTTAAAATGAGTAAAAAACAAAAATTACATTGTATTCAGTCTTAGAAGCATTATCAACTACTGATAACTTAAAGTGTACTCCTGTATGTTATTTTATGACAAAGCAATACGCAGTGCTCTCTCTTTCCTGACTTCCTTATTAAGTAATTTCTCTCTGTCTTTCTTTTTCACACACTTATGTTTAGATGGTTTGAGATCGCTGATTGCAGAAACATCACCAGGTTTGAAATGTGTTACTCTGTATTCCTTTTCGTTGATCTGGCCTAATCCTTTCCTGTCAGATTTTAGGCACGTTTTAATGGGATACTTAAGTCCTTTTCCTGAAGGGCCAAGACCATTTTGTTCATCCCATCCATGGTTCAAAAGCATCTGATAGCCTTTGTTTTGTTTCGATATGCCATACATTGTGTTTGTTAGTTTTGGTTTACTGTTGAATACATGAAGAGTGGACGTTTCATGTTTCTTCCAAGTTGTTTGATAGAAATTAACTTTGCAAATCTTGCAATAAAATCCAGAATTTTCATCGTAATGTTTTTTCACACTATCAATTTTTCGGGAGGTGTCGTTAAAATCCTTCAAAGGCTCCACGAATTCTGGTTTGATTTGCAATGAATAATCACTATTTGGTTGTGACGTATTCGCATCTGCTTCAGGCAGTGTTGATCTGTTAGTTGTATGTTCTGTTCTCTTTTTGAGCAATGCAACAATATTCAAATAATTCTTTTTCAATGCCAGTTGTGCCGCAGTAAGACCAGATTTCTCCCGAGCTCTTCTATTGGCACCGAGGTTTAACAAAAATTCTATAACATCCAAGTGGCCACAGTAGGCAGCTGACATGAGCGGTGTCCAACCAAAATCATCAGTCGAATCAACATTTTCTTGGGTTACATATCTGGATAAGAACATCAAATCCTTCTGTTCCACTGCTTTCAATATAGCATTGACAGTCACGTTCCCCTTAGAGAACTGTTCACTTTTAGATCTCTCAGTTGAAACAGATTTTGATATTGTACTATGATTAATGTTCGTCCTAGCTTTACGATGTTTCTGGTCATGTTGTGAGATTACATCTTCTGTATCATGCACAATTTCCTCGTAACTTTCCCTTGCCTCATCTCCTTGAAAACTTAAGCAATGATCTTTTCTCTTGATAGGTACCTCGGAAACCTCGCAGGACTCACGAACGAATGTTTTCCACGGAATATCAATATTCATAAAAAAATTGTGCTGCTTCAGCATCTTGCATTTCAGTTTTACATCTATCGTTCAATGAAACATGTATGAGTAATCAGAGAAAGCAGCTGATAATCCTGGATTATGCAGGACAATCACTTTTATTAACTTACATTGGTACCGTACACTGTACACAGTACAGTACACCGTTCTATACTTTTTGGTAGATGACTGATGATTTTATCATTGGTCATACAATCACAATGTAAATTAAACGAAGATAATAATTAACTTCCGATCAGGGAATTCACTTAGCCTAGGTGAATGGTTATGATTATCATCCATAATCCATGTTCTATCTCCTATACGGACATCTTCTGAAATCATCTGTAACTACAGTTCCATACAGTTCTATCACTGACATCACCGAGGCGACTGAGGCGACTCTGAAATTTATCTATATTTTGGATTTTCAATTCATGAAGAACAGTGAGAAAATGATTTTCCAGAAGTGATTATTAAATAATT